GATTATTTTATTCGAGTTTTGTGTTTACTTCGGAGTACGGGTGTACGAAGCTTACCTAATTTAAATAAATAATTGAGAGTACGTCATAAACAGTAAACAGTAAACACATTCCGTGTTTATCAGCACAATAAACACGTGTTTTTATCATTCTGTTGTTTTTCCAATGGAAATTCATTGCACATGATATCACGTCTTTGCAGTTGTATTTTCGTAAATACCTACGTACACAAACAATATATTAAATAGGAAATTAAAACGAACGTTTGCAAAACGGAAAATCATAGACGGGCCCCACAGGAAACTGCGTGGCTAGGAGTTGGTAAAAAGGGCGAGCGAATGTTAAAATGAAAGAGTAACCAAGGATCCTCGGTCGAGGACGACGGACAACCATTTTTTATAACAATAATTTACATCGCGGATATTTTTGGCTCGCGATAAGATAATATTATTGTAATAGGACGACGTTATTTGAATCTTATTTTTTGTCGTCATCCTCTCGCGGGGCCGTCGAGACGAATATTATTGTTATCGTCCCGTTATGAAGTATAAATGTTTTCCGAAAGCGTTTGCAAAGGGCAAAAGCAGTCGTGTATTAGTGTACTACTATAGTGTACCCAAAAACACGAAACGCCGTCAACACTTTGTTGTCTCGACGCGGCATCGCGTATCGACCGACGCGCGCGAGTGCTCTGGCTCCCTATTCGCCGACGGTCGACTGTAGAGGGGCCGTGCAACGCGACTGGCGACTGCAGCGCGGCGCGCAGGTCCCCTCGGCTTTTCGTTCATCGGTGATCGTTATTCGTTGTTTCAGTACCGCTGGACTCCTTGCGATCACTTTTTTGCCGTTACCGTCAGCTCCGCGCGCACACTCTCGTGATGTTTGTCCCGCTGTAATTTCGTTCTCAATTTTTCCCTCCCGTGCCCGACACTCCCGACGTCGTCGTCGTCAGTGTCGTCGTTATCATTGTCACTCGTATCGAGCGGCAATATAATATAATATCCGTGTAAAACTTTACTGTAACAAACAGCTGTGAGTTATGCCGAAAACGGCCTCTTTCGACACCGTTTTTGCTCAGTGAGAGCGTTTCTCGGGGACAAAACAAATACATTAATTTTAGGACACATTAATTGCATCGCCGTTCCCCCTCGTTCGCGCCGTCACTTCAACGCACACGATATTTTCGCCATCGCGCGCTAAATAATTTGGAAAAACGCAGCACACAAGGTAGAGTGTTCTCTTTATTTTTTTTTTGTACTATCTCTTCCGTATGTTTATATGAATTATAAAATGGTTTTCCTCTACATTCCCACCGTGTGTTCTCCGTCTTTGCGGGCCTGGACGCCCTTCTATTTTCGGCGTCGTTTGGGCGCGCGAAAAACGGTTGGTACTCATTTACTAAATGAATGGGTAGCATAGCTGTAGTCTGTTGTTGTGAAGGTTATATTATATTATGCGTGGCCGCCGTAAAAGGCGTTCCATCTGGTTATCACTGGTGGTATCATGGTGATGTGGACTGTTTCCGCCGCCGCCGCCACGTCCTCTCCTCTTCCACCGTCACAAAACCGGTGAGCGCCCGCACGACAGCCTGCTCGCGGGCGGTGAATGGTGTATGAGACCTATTGTATTTTCGTGTGGGCAGGGCGCGGGCCGGGGGGTGAACGTTTTATTGCGCCCGCACCATCGATTTTCCCGAATCACTCGCCTTCTCCGTTCATGGTTTTCGAGCACGCCTTGTGTAAACACCGGAAACGCCGTTTCCGTTCCACGTCCTATCGGAATAATCGTGGATTTATCTCGTGCTCTGCTGTTATATTTATAATATCGTAATATCGATAACGATTAACGATGACAATAATAATAATATCATGTGTCCATAATGGGCATAAATGGTCGATTGTACCCGGGGGAGAGCAGCTGCTGGTCTGGCGTTCTTTTCTGTCCTGTAATTTGTATAATTGTCGATTGTTTATCGTAACGATATCGTCTCCACACAATAATGATTCAGATTGTTGACGGGCTCGTTTGTGCTCGGAACGATTTCTCGTCTACAATTTCAATTATAATAATATAATTATCGTGCCATTGGGCGTGTCTTTTCCTGCTTTTGCTCATTAGGCTAATCGGTTTTAGGCGACGGACGCGTACAAACTGTTTTGTCATACGAGGCTTTTACGAACAAAAAAAAAAAAAAACAATATTGATTAATGTTATTATCAGCTGAGGCCAGCGACTATCGATTTGTTTCCTTTTTTGTTGTTGTTGTACTACTGCCAGTCAGTGGTTCCGATGGTTAATACGCTCCGAAGGTCTTTGCAATATAAACTACTTTACTGAATAAAGCATCAATGCATCATGGAATTATTACCATTTTAGTTACAAACAAAATAGGCACAGGCACCTACCAACCTACTTAACTACCTACCAAAAATGTAAGCTAAAAAATAATAATAATAATAATATAATGTTGCAATCATGTGTGTCCCGTATATGGTAATATAGTGATTTTTTAATTTGTCTATAATAATTAAAACTACGCGTTCATTTAAATTAATTGCCCATGTCATTTAAAGGGCAAACAGTTTTTGTTTAGTAAAATAATAAAAAGTTATCGTCTGACTAGGTATGTGTTGTTTATTTTTTTAACCAAGGAAACTTGACATTTTTCTTTTTTCTCCTCTTTTTCTTTATCTCTATATTTTTCCTTTTTTCCTTGTACCTAATTTATGAAAAATAAATTTCAATTTTTGTTTGCTTTTTAAAACATACTATTGCGCACAAAAAAATTATTATTTATATAATAGTATATAGGATGATTCCACCAACCGTGCACACTTTTTTTTTTCAATAGTGTAGTTATTATTCTGATTTTTAGAATTTTTAAATATTACCTAAGTACTTGTAGAAAATATTTTTGAGATTTTTATAATAAAGGAGTGTCCTGTGGAGATACCAATTTAAAATCATATAAGAGTATATATGTTATAATAACTATGAGTTCGTTAAGTTCAAATAAGAACTTGGCGTCACCCTGTATATACGATTGGTTATTGATTGACGAATTACATTAATTTATAGTCATATAATTTATACGACCAGCATTGATAATTGGCTATTAAAAAATCGATGGTCATAATTTAAGTACTTGTAGAAAATATTTTTGAGATTTTTATAATAAAGGAGTGTCCTGTGGAGATACCAATTTAAAATCATATAAGAGTATATATGTTATAATAACTATGAGTTCGTTAAGTTCAAATAAGAACTTGGCGTCACCCTGTATATACGATTGGTTATTGATTGACGAATTACATTAATTTATAGTCATATAATTTATACGACCAGCATTGATAATTGGCTATTAAAAAATCGATGGTCATAATTATTTGTTTATTACTCATTATTTAAATAATTATATAGTAGTATTATATTATTTACTTATAAATTGTATGCAATTTAAAAATTAAACTAGTTTTTTTTGTTCATTTTTCCTTTAGTGGTGTTAGCTTATATTTTAACCGAGCATTATTGATTCCATTGTATTCTTCTGCAATAGTAATATTGCCGTTTGATTCGAATGCTTTTGTTGCATAGTTTGAGTGATATTTTTATTCAATAATCGGTCAATATTTCATGGAATATTAATGAGGCTATGAGAGCAAGAGTGGCCTAACCCATTAGCTTGAATAATTGAGGCCAAATAATATAGGCCAGTATTGCATTTTCATATTTACTAAAAACAACATTTTCTGGTTAGGGCAAGTGCTACTATCTAGCGGAATATTTGGTAACTAGGTTCAGGAATTCATCAAACACCACTATACTCTGTCCAGCGAGAGAACGCACCTCGGCGGCGCTCAAAACTCGTCCGATTTCGCGCATTCCCACCACTTGCTCGTCCGTCGTACGCGGTCGTCGTCACCTCGGAATACGTCGACTGCGGGTCGGCGTGGCGTGCTCACCACCGGTCGCCGCGTGGTGGGATAAATTCGCCTCGAGAGTTCGAGACGGCGGACTGCGGAGGCTTTGCGCACATCACTAGGCGGAGCTCATTTGGATGCGCGAACAAGGTGCGTTCTTTCGCTGGACAGAGTATAGAGTTAAATATATAAGCTGAAAAAATCAACATTCACGTTTTTAAAATTTTGGGTTAGGCCACTCTTGCTCTCATAGCCATACAAATTTTGTAATTTAAATTTGGAAACAACCGCAAACCGTATGTATATGTTTTTCATGTAGCGTTGTAATAACCTCGTTCCCATTGTTATTTGGTAAAGCAATATTTACATTTCCGACTTGCGACGAGGCAATTGGTTTTAAACCTTCAAGGAAAACATTTTGATGTGCACATTTATTCAATTTTAGACAAAATGTTTATTAATTATGTACATACATATTTTAAGTGTGGTTCGATGGAGTATTTGAAGTGTTGACTAAAAATAGATCTAAAAAATAGATCTTACGTTCCCGTCTATCCCTCCAGTCTTAGACTGGCAGTCTATACTTTAAATCATCATCAATCGTAAACCATTGGTGCTGTATTAGACTTTTGTACACTAACATTTTCAGAATAGTCTTGTGGTTTATACGATATAGTATCTAATCCTTTATTTTTATATTATGTATTATATATTAAACATTTTTCTTGTCAAATACTTTGCCACTTGATTCATAGGCGATTCATAATTGTAGGACAGATCATTTCTGGAATGTAGTTCATGTGAGTTATTAAAATATAACATTATCGCATGTAGCAAATCTCTCTCCGGAGGCGTCTGCCCACCCTTCCACCCCGAAGAGACAACGCATAGGTCCTGAAAGTGAAACACAGTGTACAACCAGTTTTTCCATAAATCATTATCTCCTATATTTATTGACGTTAAGTTCATAAATATTAAAATAATAATTATGTATTTTAACAAATAGGTAGTACCTGTATTTTTTGTGAAGTACATTTATTTTGGAAATGTAGACTAATTGATATTTATGTTTTTCTTTACAGATGACGCCATCACCAAATCATAAACCTGTCCCACCTGTCTCACCGACGACGTTAGCAACTATTTTAAAATTTGAGAAAAACGTCATTCATATGTCGAATGGATGCCCAATCATTTTGAATACTTCATATCCTATAACTGAATCTGTTTCTGATAATCCACTTCAGCATATATCCAGACCAATGTATCATGAAGAAACACCTTCTTGGGATTTGACTACTTACGAAAATCGCTTGAGAACGTTTGATGGAGTCTGGAAATTACAATTCATAACACCTGACCAAATGGCCAAAGCTGGATTATATTATTTGGGCATACAAGATCGTGTTAGATGTTTGTTTTGTTCTACAGAATTCGATTATTGGCAACAAGGTGATGATCCGGTTGTTGAACATAAACGTCAGTCTCCACAATGTCCATTTTTTAATGATTCTTCTGGTAAATATCAAATAACTACCTACCTAAATTTAATACTTTTGTAATCTGATATGAAATTTAAGTCGATTTTAAGATAAATATTTAACACAACTACAACTGAACAACAATCATATAAAAGAGCGAACTACTCCATTCATTGAAAGCTAATTTCTAGTTAATTGCAAAAAGTTGCATTATTGTTGTAAGCTAGAAAGCTGGATATTAGAATATTAGGATCAACTCTTAATACTTTTATTTTATAATAAAAATGTAAATTACCTAATTTTACATGTCGCCTAACGCTCATTTTAGTTTTGCTCTATACTACTTTATTCACAAGAAACAGGGAATATCTAATTATTTGATGCTAACTACGTTTAAAATTGGAGTACTTTTTATGATTTAGGCTTAATGATAGGTTATTAGCTAACAAATTTTTCTTAAGTTATCGGTTAATGAAACAAATAAGATCCAATTCCATCTGAATGTTGTTTCTTGTTTCTCATTAAACTAGTCAGATGACAATTATATCCATGTCATAGATACTGTAATAAGTACTAGATTTGTGTGCTAGTTCATAAGTCCAATCCCTTGGAATACATAGTTTTAATTATGGATTTGGATCTAAAAGAATCTAGACTCTAGGGCTTGGTTAGGATGGACCAAATATTACAAAGAAAACTTAATAAGATAATTAAAAAGGAAAACAATATGGTCAGTGAAATTAATTTATAAATTATATTATATTAAATTATTAATAAACATAAAATGGTATGATTGATGAGTTTTTATTTTAATAATAATAAAGTAAAAGTTAAGGACATCACATTTTTTATAAAGATATATTTATACAGATAAAAAAAGATGTATTATATCAGTATTCAGTACTATTGCATATTGTTTGAAGCCTTGAAATAACTAATTAATTTAATTGTATTTTCAGCTGGTTATGATGTGTGTGGTCTTTATGGTTCTGCTCCTGCTGATATCCATTCTAATCACGAGTCAAAAAAAGTTCAAGACTTTTTAGATTCTGTGGGTATTCTGCAACAGATTAAACCTCCTAAGCACAGAGATTTTGCCACCCTAGAAGCACGGTTGAAATCTTTTGAAAAATGTTTGATATCGTTAAAACAAAATATTCAAACTCTATGCGAAGCTGGATTTTTTTATATAGGTAAGATGATTATATTTTACTATACTAGTTCATTTCTCATATTAATTTTTTAAATTTTTTCAGGCAATGGTACAAATGACCAAATGCTTTGTTATTACTGCAGTCAAGGTCTGAAAGACTGGGAAGATAACGATGAACCATGGACAGAACATGCCAGATGGTCAGAATCATGTAGTTACGTGTTGTTAAATAAAGGCAAAAATTTTGTTGACAAAGCATGTGGCGTGAAAAGCACAAAATTCAACCCAACGGTAATTTAATAGTCTTGTCAATCACTATGGATGCAAAATTTACCTTAAAATTGTCTTATAGGAGTTATTCAAGCTGATTGCTGAACATAAGGATAAGTCTATTACTGAAAATAATATGAAAGTAAATTCGACAAAAAGGTATGTTTCTTGAATAATAAGCCTAATTATTAAATAAGAAAAGCATTTTAAATATATTTTTGTTCAATAAATCTGAAAATAAGAAATTTGAATCCAGTTAAATATTTCATTTAAGTCATTAAAATGTATTATTATACTAATATATTCTGACATTTATGTTACAATATAAATTTCCTTTTTTTATTTTTTTTCAATCAGGATTCACATTGTCTGTCAACGTCACACACCTAGGTATTACACCTTGAATTTCATATTTTGTGTAAAACTGTAGTTAATTAGTTAAAGATTTTAATGCACTCAAATTTGTTTCGATCATATTCATAAATTGCATTATTTTTCATTGCTTGTAACTAATTTAACATTTGAATACACTGCGGAATGTTTCCTTTTACCTTTTTTTTTTGAAGCACAATATTATATATATTAATCTGTCAATGATTCTAATTTTTTTTAATTTACATGTTTTGTTTTTATAGACAACCTGATCAGCCGGAGACTTCTAACATAGGTCAAATCAAAACAACATCTGAGGAAAACCAACATGTTTGTGAAAAGCGAGATCCTAATACAATACCAGATTCTATGCTGTGCAAGATTTGCTATAAAGAAGAAATGAAAGTGGCTTTTATCCCTTGCGGTCATGTAATTGCCTGCATTCAATGCGCATTAACACTCGAACAGTGTGCTGTATGTAGACAGCCATTCAGCATGGTGATGAGAGTACACTTGTCAATGGACGTAGAAAAAGTTAAAGATCTCGAACAGTTACCTTGCAGTTCATCACAGTGTTTAGATGAACCATTGGACCCGATGCTTTGCAAAGTATGTCACAAAGAAGAAATGGCAGCGGCATTCATACCCTGTAGACATGTTTACGCCTGTGTCAAATGCGCGGCAGATATGCACGAGTGCCCGACGTGTACAGAAGGTTTCTGTGCCACTATACAAGTGTACTTATAGGGCCTGTAAAATTATTGCGACATTGTGTGGTGGAAACCATTCTAGTCTTAAATTTTAATTTGTGTAATTAATTTTAGTTTTAACAACTTAATTTATAATGAAATATAATAAGCACCAAAGTGGGCTAAATCTTACTATGTTGTTGTCGTGTTGTTAGTATTTATAATATTCTGACAAAGCACAATATTCATAGTAAATTGTGAGACTGATTTCCTTAGAAGAATGTTGTACAACAGTTGTTATCTCTAACATTACATAGTAAATTTACGATCTGCATTTATGTTATTATTTTTCCGGTTAAAGTACTTTGACATATGATTTACTATCAAAATTTAAAAAACAAAATTACAAACATCTGTGTTCTCAATCTTTTAATTTAAAGTGGGGTTAAACACTATTAAATTGAGAAATAATATAGACAGATAAAAAAGTTTATTTATGTGTCAATTTCCTTTCATAATAAATATAACATATTTGTGGGTCAGTTATTTACTTATTCTGAATAAAAATGTAAACATAAGCGATTGTAAGACAAATATGTCTATACAGGTATGAAGTCCTTTAACCTTTTATGATAATTTTAAACATCAATTATTGCTCTTAAGGCAGATACTCCCATGTACAGTTTTTTTGTAAATAAACATTTTTTGTTTTTTTCTTATTGTCGTAATTAAAAAAACAAGTATTTAGTGTTTTAACTATAAAAGAATAATTATAGAATAAAAATCTAATTTTAAAACTACAAATCATGTGTTAATTATTTTAGTATATTATTGATATATTAAATAGGTATTTTTTATATTGTTTAATAATCAAAAAATGCATTACAATTTATAATTTTGTCAACAATTTATTCTCGCCATCTGTGTCCACAGTTACAGCATTTATAGAAAACAGTCATAGGTTCATCTGCTGATCTAGTTTGAACTTGTAAAAAGTATGCTCTGCCATGATTGCACGAATTACAAACTACATCAATTGAATCCACATTTTCCCAAGCATTTTTGCCTCCCAGAACTGAATCTATTTCCTAAAAAAAAATATACAGATTATAACACTATAGTTATTTAAAATCATAGCATTCAACATAATTGAGTGGATTGTGTGTAAACCAAAATAATAGATTTGTTAAAAAATAATGCATAGGTATATTACACTAGTACAAAATACAAATGCATATATTTTACTGTTTTATTGGGAAATTGTGGTTGAATGACAATTAAGGAATATTGCTGGACAATGATTTGATTCAAAGACATTAACTGAGCTAAGGTAATATTTCTAGAGGCTAGTACTAATCTGAACATAATATATTGTCATTTGTTGTCTAGACTTAGCAAGGAAAACATATATTTAAATATAATGTAAAAATAAATTAAGTTCTTTCAATATTAAACCAAACTTGCTCACAGAAACATTTTAACCACTAAAATAATTATTAATTAATATATATTGATTATATATTATTTATTGATAATATTGATAATATTGATAATATCTATTGTAAATTATAATTAATTTGTATTTGTTTCATTACAAAAACATATGCACAACTGGGGAGGGCTTAGCCACCTCCTTCCATGTATATTGGATAATAAATCGCGTAAAAATATAAGAACCAACTTTTTTTGCTGTATATTAAACTAATTTTGTAGGTACCTATAACTCTAAATAATTTAAAACATTTTCCTTAAGGCTTAAGTACATTTAAAAAATCCAATATTAAAGGAAACATTTGGGATGTGCATAATACTTTATCTCTGTGAATCTACTAAATAAATATTATTTACATAGATATTGATGTAAATTTATATTAATAACAAGACATTTGCAAATATACCAATTTAGCAGATGGGTGTAGGGAAAATCTCATCTCAAATAAAGAGAAAATATGAGCCCCCCTCCCCCCCATAAAATAATTAGTACAAGATACATTATATTAAGTTATAAATCAGTGACAGTAAAATTGTGAATTTTAATACTTAAAAATATATACCGACTGTGTTCTATAAACCTGGATAATTAACAATACTTTTTTTTAGTTTTTCATCCTTTCAAAAACATTATAATGTTATTATAGTTGTTATTGAAAAAAATATGTCAAGGCAAAAGTAGTACAATCTCCATATACATGAAACTTCGTTAAAATATTTGGTATAATTGCAGTTTAGCTACCACGAGATTTTTTCAAATTTTTTTTTCGAAACCTAGGTAAATCAACGTTTTAAAAATGATGGTGCCAAAAAAAAATTGCGCAAACTCTTAGTTTTTGAGTTATAACTGTTAGAAATTCAAAAACTCCTAAATTTTGAATTTTTTTTTTGTGGTAGACTTATGTATTTTGACTATTTAAAAACGATGGTGCAATCAGAATTTGTCGATCGAATTTAGTTTGAAAGTTATAGCGGTTTTAAGTTATGAAAGTTAAAAGTTGCAGAGATCACGAGTGTATTGGCACTCGTCGCTACGCTCCTCGGCGCCGTCGCTCCGCTCCGCAAATCAAAAATATCCCCCGATTTGTTGTGTAAAACCACCTCAGGTGAACCTCGGAATTAAACAAAGTTGTTTTTTGCCAATTACAGAAACATTTATAATTACGATATTTGGATTCAGAGAAATTATATATCTGAAAAATATAACCGGAGCAGGTAAGGCGCAACTACCTCACTTGGCGACTTGGTTCAACAAAAAAAATTTTTCTTTAAAAATCCAAAATTTTTAACTTAAAACCGCTATAACTTTCAAACTCAATTCGATCGACAAATTCTGATTGCACCATCGTTTTTAAATAGTCAAAATACATAAGTCTACCACAAAAAAAATTCAAAATTCAAAATGCAATATTTGGGAATTTTTGAATTTCTAACAGTTATAACTCAAAAACTAAGAGTTTGCGCAATTTTTTTTTGGCACCATCATTTTTAAAACGTTGATTTACCTAGGTTTCGAAAAAAAAATTTGAAAAAATCTCGTGGTAGCTAAACTGCAATTATACCAAATATTTTAACGAAGTTTCATGTATATGGAGATTGTACTACTTTTGCCTTGACATATTTTTTTCAATAACAACTATAATAACATTATAATGTTTTTGAAAGGATGAAAAACTAAAAAAAAGTATTGTTAATTATCCAGGTTTATAGAACACAGTCGGTATATATTTTTAAGTATTAAAATTCACAATTTTACTGTCACTGATTTATAACTTAATATAATGTATCTTGTACTAATTATTTTATGGGGGGGAGGGGGGCTCATATTTTCTCTTTATTTGAGATGAGATTTTCCCTACACCCATCTGCTAAATTGGTATATTTGCAAATGTCTTGTTATTAATATAAATTTACATCAATATCTATGTAAATAATATTTATTTAGTAGATTCACAGAGATAAAGTATTATGCACATCCCAAATGTTTCCTTTAATATTGGATTTTTTAAATGTACTTAAGCCTTAAGGAAAATGTTTTAAATTATTTAGAGTTATAGGTACCTACAAAATTAGTTTAATATACAGCAAAAAAAGTTGGTTCTTATATTTTTACGCAATTTATTATCCAATATACATGGAAGGAGGTGGCTAAGCCCTCCCCAGTTGTGCATATGTTTTTGTAATGAAACAAATACAAATTAATTATAATTTACAATAGGTATACAGTTTGTTTAAACTGTAATGGTCTTATACATACATCTAATTTATTATATGTAAAAATAGTCAGTCTCTTTATAGTTCCTATTTATTATGAATAAAAATTTAAAAAAACTAAAAAATAATTAATTTTAATGTGTAATAATATATTAATTATTGGCGCAATTTTAAAAAGGTGTTTTATTTTTAATAATTGTATGTTGGTATAATACCGTTATATTTATTAAGAACTTAAATCTAAAAGGAACAAATATTCAATTTTTAGAAAAATATTATGCAAAATAACTGAAATAAATTAAGAGGATGTCACTATTTGCTTTCTCTCTGGCCCATGCGCAACATAGAAAAAATGCATTGACGCAGAATCTTTTTTTCTATATTTTTAAGTAATCTTGGAGTAAAATCATCCATAACAAAAAAGGTAGAGAATAATATTTTTTAGGGAATGACATATTCTTTGATTTTATATTTTATTGTTATTTGACTTAAAAAATAAACAAAAATAAAAATGTTGTATATTTAAATTGTTCTGTGACAATATTTAGACAAATCGATATGTCATTCCCCCAAAAATATTATTCTATAAATTTTTTGTAATGGGTGATATTACTCTAAGATTACTTACAAACATAGAAAATATGATTCTGCGTAAATGCGTTTTGTCTATGTTGCGCGTGGGCCAGAGGGAGAAAACGAATAGTGCACTGACATTCTCTTAAGTGCGCAGCAAGTAACTGAAATTAATTATATAAACTATAGAGTTTTTAGAGTGTGTATAGACATCCAGTTTGCCAAAAATGTTTTTTATGGACTATATATTATAGTTTTTAAAATTAGTCTGTTAGTGTGCATGAGATTAAAATAATGTGTCATCATGAATTCCATAGGTCTTTAAGTTTTGGCTCTAGCTCAGAAATAATTTGGACACAGTTAAGTCTGTAACTCGGTCTGTAATGATGATAGATTTTATATTTTATATAGATTTAACCATAGATACTTAGAATCTTAAGAATTCAGTTAGCAACATTAAACCAAAGCATCCTTTTCAATTTAGTTGAATTCTAGACTCTAGTATATAGAAATTTCTATCAATGACAGTTTTCAATATGGATGAAAATACAATACGTTATTCTGAATTGTTAGATGGTAATAATGAATAGTTATTACTTTTAGTTTGTAAAACGATCGGGAGGCAAGCATGACGTTTTTGATTGTAGAGAAGTACGGACACACTTGACATTTCTGTCTCATCTCTCCCAAATACTCGTCCAAGTGAAGAATGTTTGAGCAATTTGGACAAAAGTCAATGTAGAACATGCTACTTTCGTTTACCACCTTGCTGCTCATTTTGAAAACTGAGTATTTCGTTTTCTCAAAATTCAAATAAAATTGTACACACTAATTATAGCACAGAACAATATGTTGATAACAATGTTGATTATAGGTACACTTAATTAACTATAGTCTACGGTTCAACGGTTCGATAGCACCACAATTTAAAACCAACAGTTACTGTACTACTCTCTTAAATTGTGTGGATAGCTGGACACTAGGGCGACAGTCGTTGGATCGCAATTATAGTACGCTGAAGCTTTATACTTTGGTCTTTGACAGGACAACTGCATAGACAGGGATACTAACTACTATTTACTGGAGTCTGGAATCTGGATTAACGAATAACGATTACTGGAGACTGAACTACTAATGTTTCCTTTTCGGTGGATTATCAGCTCAGTATCAGCCCCCGGTTTAGATAACGCGTATCGTGATCAAAATCTAGTGACACCATAATTTTGTGACCATGGTTACACATTGGTAGTATCATCGAATGTATGACCTTGGTTTTCATGGCTAAAAAAAAATTACGTACGTTTAGAAGCATCGGGATCAGTGTTGGCTACACTGATCGTGCTGGGCTTGACAACAACAGCGCTGCCGAGGGCCGGTGGTGCCGGACGGCTAAACGTGACGCCATTTTATGTCGGTTGCCGACGAGTGATCGTGCCGCTGAGATTTCCCGTTGCCGTTCCGCCGACCGTCGTCTGATCCGTCATTCAAACGTCAACCATCCGCCATCGTTTTTCACACAGCGTGTCAAGTACACAGACACGGTCGCCGGTGATGCGCTGCTCTTGCTGCTGCTGAACCGCTGCTGTTTGCGTCGCAACCGCCGCCGCCGCCGCCTATTCCGGTACTCGCCCGGCGATTCATTCGTCAGTGAAATCGATTCAACCCCAATGGCCGCCAACAACTATTTCGGGTTCACACACGGTGGCACCCAATACGCGTAAGTTTGTTCACCGACTACAGCCCTCGTTTGCTGTAGCCCCGCCAAACCGCCGTTTTCGTAATTGCATTGCGCGTTAGGTTATAATAATAATAATAGTAATAATAACAATTATCGTAACCGCGCACACGAGGTCGTCCTGAAGTTTCGATGGAATTTTTTTTGGACGAGCTCGACGCACTTGTCGGTTACTTACTTATTCGCCCGTGGGTGTACAATTTGACGTTTGACACGAATGTGAAAACTGTGTTTCGATCCCTATCGATTTCTCGAGGGTAAACGTTGGTTTTTACGCCGACACTTTTGATCGAAGACATTTTGGCAATGTTTCTCTGGTCCGATCGTGTGACGTCTTACACGTGTGCCACGGTAATGATATGCGTTAAGCCAAACAATTCTTTAGTCGATTTCATCTTTTCTTGTTTGACATATTATTTCGTGCTACTGTTTAATCTGATTATTCTCGCCAAACCTGTGATTAATGGGTTTTGATTTTTTGTTGTGGCCCTACCTTTTGAATTTCTGATCAGCTCTTTTATTACTTTTATTACTTTTACTCTTTTACTACTTTTATTGATTTTTTATTTTAATAAAGTAACTATTGGTTTTTAATTGTATTTGATCATTTTTTTGTATATCATATTCAGGTTATGAGTAAACCACTCTCGCTTGTATTTTGCAGATGTAGGTAGTCTGAATTGAGCGAGGAGTTGCCAATCAGAAACAATGTCTTGGTAACTTCACTGTACCATCACTGGCCGTTAATCATTGGCTATTGATGACAATTAAGGTCACTGACATCATCATGTGTACCATGCCTACAGTGAGATGCACAGTGACCTATAATTTTTTTACTCGGACTAGTGGCTTACTTTTTTATTCTTACTAAGAGTAGATAAACATACGGTTTAATTTATGTTTTTTTTTTTTACCCATTCATGTATATTTTTTGGAAAATTTGTGCTTAAATAATTAAACAGGGAACTTACTATAATCGACTGGATAAATAATAATAATTAAACACAGTATTATTGTATTTAATTTATAGTAATTAAGCTAGCCTTATAATATACATATTGTTTCAGTACTGCTACTGGATATCAGCCTCCCCCACAAGCTGGATATGCCGTACCTCCGGCTACTTATACAACTCCACGAGCTGCCGCTACTGCATATGATGTAGCATCCTATCAAACAGCTGCTGCTACACAATCTGCTTATGGTAGTCATTTAAAGTATTTATTTAAAATAAGATAGGCACATAATTAATTTTAATACTGAGATATGTTTTTACAATATTTCTACATAATAAAAATTGTAATTTCATATTCTTCATACTTATAGTAATGTGCATCTGAAAACATTTTGATTAATAAGAAATTAATTAGAAATTAGTTTTAAATTACAGTTCATGTGAGCAAGTTAGGTTATTATTAATTTATTTAGCTGTAGTGGAATATTTTGACATTTTAATATTTTATTTATATATGATAGTTTCATATAAGTATTGCATATTATTTTAAGGTCTCTCCACACACTGCAGAGTTGGTTTTAAAATGAGCCCGGACACAGTTTACTTCTACAAATATTTGACTATGTAGGATTTATAAACAAATTGCCTAGGTGCAAACAAATGTAAAAATGTCAAAGAAAAAGAGAACATCAAATATTGAACAATTGGATACAAATTATGATAAAAACGACCTTGTCTGTAGTGGAAGAAAACCAAAAAACACAAAAAAGAACCTTAAAAAATTGACAATTAAATTAAATACAAAGGAACAATTTGTTAAAAAGTCAAAGGGAAACAAAACTTTACCACCAGTTGTAAATACTGCAGTTTTAAATAAAATGTCCAATAACCAACCTCAATCATTAATAAGAGTCAGTCAGAATTATCTACTAATGATATTCAAATCAATAAAAAATTTTGAATTATTGATAAAACTCAATTAAAAAAAATCTATAGGCCCATTAAGAGTTAAATCAGAGGGACAAAGAATGGAAATGGAACGAAAAAACTACCAAAATAAATGAAATTAAAAAACCAACTTGAATTTGAAACTTAAACTGTTAGAAAGTTATCAAAAACCATTGATGGATTAAAAGAAAAAGAAAATTGAATTGTGAAACCCTTACTAGGTCAATAGATAATGATAAACCAAATGTTTTAATATGCCCTTTTAAATATTCTAAGCCATTTGATGATGAAACCAACTGCAATAATCCAGTCAAGCAGAATTCTAACACATTAACATTGATTTTCAACAAACCAATAAAAAAAAAGCTAGACTTTCAGAAATAGAAATACTTCATGCTGATAACAGTGCAATGTTTGGTTTTGAATCTATATTATCTGCTTCAAATATTCGACAATGTAGAATTTATAAACAAATTGTCATTTGTTTCGCCAAATATATCCTTGTCCTAGCTAACGAAGAGGACAAAGAAATCCAACTCGACACCTCTAGTGATACTTCTAATATAATCAACGAGTTTATACTTCATCATCAACAGGAAATCAGGGCTCTGCCAATATACGTCAAAATTGTCATCACCAACTACTCAAAAATGCGTTAAAACAAATCACCAGCCTTGTTTTTCTTGTAAGTCTACTTCTTTTTTTCTGATTATTCAACCTCATGGACGTAATATGTTAAACATATATCAAATTCGAATTACCATATAGGACCAAGAGTGGTCCACCTCAGTGCCGAAACTGCCATAACCAGTCCAGCCAAGTGCCCCCCGAGCATGGACAATCACACTTCCAATTACAAAGGATGTCAAATTTTCATAGCTCTTCTCAAACGACCCAAACCATTCATTAAAAACCACCGAATCCGATACACATTTCTCTTCATCTCCAAACTCTCCCTCCCAAAGCTTTCTTAGCCTCCGATACCAATTCCAAAATTATACCACTACCCAATATCGGATATCCACGCAATTGATAAGCTACAAACTAAATGTATATCAGAACTATCCTCTTTAATCACTCCCCTCATTACTCTCCTTACAGCTGTTCTAAATAGACAGCTTGTTCCATAGTCCGATACTCGATTACCTTTGTTACCTCATAATTAAATTAAAATATTTTTAATCGCCAGATATGTAAATTTTAATTATTGTACCTTATAGGTCTTCAATTCATATTATTATATAAATTTTTTAAGTCAATATCATAATGTTATGTTTAATGTTGTACTAGTCCAATTTTGTAATTGCCGAGCTATCACAGTTTAAATTAGATGCATATATAAAAAAAAAAAAAAACAAATGTAGGTAGATATGTCAAAGAAAAACGGACCTATAAAAAGTTTCTTAGATTTTATTTCTTGAGTTAGGTCAATAGTTCAAAATTTTTTATTGATATGTTTATCATTAGTAGATAATTCTGACGGACTCTTATTTAATATTGAGGTTGCTTTTTGGACATTTTATTTAAAACTGCAGTATTTACAACTGGTGGTAAAGTTTTGTTCCTTTGTATTTAATTTAGTTGTCAATTTTTTAACATTCTTTTTTGTGTTTTTTGGTTTTCTTCCACTATGGACAAGGTCGTTTTTTTTCATAATTTGTATCCAATTGTTCAATATTTGACGTTCTCTTTTTCAAATAAGAAATGTATTATTTATAAAACAAGTAGAATTACAAAATTAAATGATTGTAAATTAGTATAAACAGGTGCAATCCCGAAATTGCAAGTAAGCACTTTTTATGTAGGAGGGATTGTCCTAGGTAAATTAAGATATAAAGAACAGGAAGATTGAAAGACGAGGGAATGGAGTTGCATTGTCTGTATATGTTCAACTCAATAAACTTAATTACTGATAAGACGTGTGCTTGTTACTTTATTTAATAAATCTATATTCAAACTGTACAAGTACGAGGCTACGGTCAACTGACTAGTAACATTATTTTGGTAATGTTTTTGTTCCATTTCCATTTTTTGTCTTGCTAATTTAACACTTAATGGACCTAAAAAAAATGGTTCTCAGACTTCATTTTTTGAGTTTTTTCAACAACTTTTCGTTTATTATTGATTTGTTTATCATTT